GTGGCGGAGGAGGGGGAAAGCGGAGTCAGGGTGGTACCAAGATTTTTGGCCTGGGCAACAGGAAGAGTGGGATTGCCATTACTTGAGAAGGGGAGGACAGCAGGAGGAGCTGGTCTTGGGGGGAGAGGGAGGATCTGTAGTTCAGACTGTGATCCGTTTTCATTGAGTCACTTGTTAAAAATCGGAGGAGACATGGCAAGTTGGCAGCTGGCTGTTGCAGTCCGAGCTGGAGATATCAACTTGGGGAGTCATTGATAAATAGATGCTATTTAAAGCCATGAGACTGGATGAGATCATTGGGGAATGAGTGGAGATTGAAAAAAAGAGCAGTCTAAGCACTGAATTCCTGGAGCACTTCAACATACAGAGGTTGGGGAGACAAAGAGCGGAAGAGGCTAAGAAGGAGCTGTCAGAAAGGTAGGAGGGAAAGTGGGTAAAAGAGTTACCGCATTATTGCTTTCATTCGCGATTCTTTGACGACTGGTTGCAAGTTCCTTTGTAGATTGTTTATAACCTTTATCAAGTGGGCTTTTACCATTTGGTTAAAAAATTGTATTAGAGGGGCGCCTGGGTGGCTTAGTCGGTTAAGCGTCCGACTTTCGCTTAGGTCATGATCTCGCGGTTCGTGGGTTCGAGCCCCGCGTCGGGCTCTGTGCTGACTGCCAGCTGAGAGCCTGGAGCCTGTTTCAGTCTGTGACTCCCTCTCTCTCTGACCCTCCCCTGCTCACGCTGTGTCTCTCTCTCTCTCTCCTAGAAATACATAAAAAACATTTAAAAAAAAGAATAAAAAATTGTATTAGTTTGTTCATGTAATAAGACTTTAACCCTTTGTCATCCTAGCTACAAATATTTCTTCCATCGTTTTTTTAAATGTTTGTTTATTTTCGAGAAAGAGAAAGCGCAAGTGTAAGTGGAGAGGGGCAGACGGAGATGGAGATAGCAGTGAACCTGACAAGGGGCTTGAAGCCACAAACCCAGAGCTTATGACCTGAAGTTGGACACTCAACTGGCTGAGCCGCCCAGGCGCCCCTGTCCTTTTATTTTGGTTATATGAATGTTCAAATATTTACGTAGTAGGTCAATTCGTGTTTTTGTGATTCATCTTATCTTATGAAGCCTGGAAATTCGTCCCCTCTTCCAGCAATTTGATGATCATTTAATTCTACTTTATTCTAGCTTTTCATTGTCTTGATTTCTTTTTATTGACTGTTGACTGCCTAGAATTTGTTTTTGTGCATAAGGTGAGGTCAGAGTCTAAACCCATTTCCTCGAGCAGTAGGCTCAGGCAAACACCTGCAAGCATTATTTGTTTGACGCGGGAATTCATAAATAGAAAGGTCGGCAAGATTCGTGGGGTTATGCGCTCACCATGCAGGAGACCAGTGTGCTTGCCGGAGGTACCGGGTGTGCAGGGTCAAACGTGGGGGTGGCCTTGAGAGGGCGGCTGAATTCGGGTGTCAGATGGCCTGAGCGTGGGTGTTCACTCTTTAGAGAGCTGCTGGGAATGGTAGCTGCCCTGCACTTGGATGCTTTGGGGGAGGGTGAGATCAGGCACCTCCCGATATCAGCCAGCTCATTGTCCGGAACCCTGGAGGCCCCTGGGTCATTCCCTGGACAATCTTTGTTGCTCCCACACCCTTGAAATGTTACTCCAGCACTACTTATTACTGAATAATCTATCCCTTTGCCAGTTTGATTTGTGATATCTTTTTAAGCATATATTAAATTCTTATATATAATATTTTATGTCTAATTATTTGAAAATATTAGTATCAAAGGCGCCTGGGTGGCTCCATCAGTTAAGCGTCCAACTTTGGCTCAGGTCATGATCTCACGGTTCATGAGTTCGAGCCCCACGTTGAGCTCTGTGCTGACAGCTCAGAGCCGGGAGCCTCCTTCGGATTCTGTGTCTCCCTCTCTCTCTTCCCCTCTCCCACTCGTGCTCTGCCTTTCTCTCTCAAAAATAAACATTAAAAAACTTTTTAAAAAAGTAAATATTAGTACCATTAACATCAGAATATTATTAACTTCATAAAGTTAAACTTTAAACGTATTAATCTAATCTGTAAAACATACTATCATTTAACACAGGAGTAGGTTAGTTAAAAGAAAGCATTACTATATGTATTTACTATTCCCATTTCTGAGAAGTCTTAAGTTCTCTCTCTCATATCAATAGGCTTTTCTTTCTCTAGCTTGAAAGCTTCAACAGTAGAGAATATTCAAATAAATACAGTGCTTAAAATAATGGTTTTCTATTTGATTAAAGCAGGTTTATTTTCAAGTAGGTTTATTTTCATTTCACTTAAATTTTTTTAAATGTTTATTTATGTTTGAGAGAGAGAGAAAGAGAGAGGGAGAGACAGACAGACAGAGTGCAAGCAGGGGAGGGGCAGAGAGACAGAACCTGAAGCAGGCAGGCTCCAGGCTCTGAGCTGTGAGTTGTCAGCACAGAGCCTGATGCAGGATTCGAACCCACAAGCAGTGAGATCATGACCTGAGCTGAAGTCAGAAGCTCAACTGAATGAGCCACTCAGGTGCCCCTCATTTCACTTTTTTTTAAAAAAGTGTTTTATTTATTTCTGAGAGAGAGAGAGAGCGTGAGAAGGGGAGGGACAGAGAGAGAGGGAGATATAGAATCCAAAACAGGATCCAGGCTTTGAGCTGGCTGTCAGCACAGAGCCCGATGCGGGGCTCGAACCCACAAACTGTGAGATCATGACCTGAGCTGAAGTCGGACACTTAACCGACTGAGCCACCCAGGCACCCCCTCATTTCACTTTTGAATACGTTTGTTGTTACATTCTTGAAGATAAGACATTTATTTATTATTCCTTTGTAATGATAAGTGGCTACTAATGTTCTGGTTTAATTTTTTTAGTTACCTAAAAGATGCCCTCCTAATCTGAAAATAAAATTATCCATTGAAAAAAGAAACACTAGTAAGATGAATACTACTGAAAATGAGTGTCACCTACAATATATTGAAAGAATAATTCAGTATCTGAGAAATGCTTATCTCAGAAATTTGAGGGTGACTCAATAATAAATCTGGTCTTAAACATTAAATATTAAGGGACTCCTAGGTTGCTAGCTCAGTCCATAAAGCGTCTGACTTTGGCTCAGGTCATGATCTCGGGGTTCGTGAGTTCAAGCCCCAGGTTGGGCTCTGTGCTTACAGTGTGGAGCCTACTTGGGATTCTCTGTCTCCTTTTCTCTCTGTCCCTCCCGCTCATGTACACACTCTTTCTCTCTCAAAAACAAACAAACAAACATTAAAAAAATATAAGATGTGGGGTGCCCAGGTGGCTCAGTCAGTTAAGCGTCGGACTTCTGATCAGGTCATCATCTCATGGTTCGTGAGTCTAAGCCCTGCACAGAGCTCTCTGCTCTCAGCATGGAGCCTGCCTTGGACCCCGTGTCTCCTCTGTCTGTCCCCTCCCACAGGTTCATGCTCTCTTTCTCTCTCTCAAAAAGAAACATTAAAAAAAACAAGAAAGAAAAAAATATAAGATGCTGAAAAGATATCTGATAAAAATGAACATTCTATCTTAAGTACTTATTAGAAATGAATTAGAAGGACAACTCAACATAATATCTTTTTCAAAATAACAGCACTATTCTTAGTGGCAAAATAATTAAGAATGTTTCTATTAAAATGAGGAGCAAAATTAAGGATGCCTGCTGTCCCCCGTGCAAATAAATGAAGACCAATCAAATGAGAAAAACAAAGACTATTTCTTCTGAGTTTGCTGTCGCAAGGGAGTCCTAGCGTCATGGAGTTTCGTCAGTTACTCAAAGGCAGGCAGAAGATTGGGGAAGCTTTATAGTGGAGAAAAGGAAGACTTCACGTGTGGCCCGCCTGACTGGAGACTGTTGGCATGGGGACGCTTGTAGATAGGCTAACTAGACGTGGGGCATCCTATGTGATTGGTTAGGCTTCCGGTGGTTGGTCCCACATTGGGAGTTGGGACTAAAATTAGGGAGGCTGTCAGTTAGTAATGAAGTCCTGTCCTGGCTGTTTTGGGCAGATTGTTACAGAAGTTATTGCTTAGCTTCTTGGATTGTCGCTATGATAGCCACCCGGCTTCCTCTAAGTCTGACTTGTAACAGGCTGGCTTCTTGGGTTGTTGATTGTAGATAAGAGTTTGGTTTACTGGGAAGGTGGCTGCCGCTGGGGGCTACGGTTCTGTTTTCTGTATGGTCAAGCCATTGTCCATTTGTCCGTTTAGTCTCTCAGCCACTATCATTAAAAATTGTCATGGGGCACCTGGGTGGCTCAGTCGGTTTGGCGTCTGACTTCATCTCACAGTGTGAGGGTTTGAGCCCCATGTCAGGCTCTGTGCTAACAGCTCAAAGCCTGGAGCCTGCTTCGGATTCTGCATCTCCCTCTCTCTCTGCCCCTCCTCCACTCACACTCTGTCTTTCTGTCTCTCAAAAGTAAACATTAAAAAATAAATAAAAATAAAAGTGTCTTGAAAGTTTTGACTAATGCAAAAGATAGTAAAGAAGTGATTTAAATCTTGGGTTTGCAGAAAGTAGATGATGGAATTTTAATGTTAGACTAAATGTTTGAATTAATAAAGTTGTTTGGGAAAAAGCACTTTACTGTTCTGGCAGTATTTAGGTAGGAAAGGTAATGAAAAAAGATTTCATTTACCATATCAACAAATAGAATTTATAGTTATGCTTTTAATGAAGAGTGTGTTTTATCTATATAATCCAGATTATCAAAGTATTACCAGAGAGGAAAACATTGGAAACACCGTCTAATAGAAACATCCTTAATTTTTCACCACTGAATTAAAGGAGAGGCACACTAAGTTTTGGATGCAAAGCCTAAACATAGTAAAGATTTCAGGCTATCTTCAATCAACTTAAAATTTTTATACAATTTTCATTTAACTTCTCAACAGAATGTTTTGAGGGGCAACTGAAATTATTTCTAAAGTGATATAAAAGAATGAACAAAGAGTAAGACATATTTATTCATTCAATAGGTATTTATTGATTGGTGTGTTCCAAGCCCTACAGACACATTAGTGAACAATAAGACGTAAGTAAAATGTGTTACTGTCTTTTCTTGTGGGTTGTTATCATTAACGAATTGACTTTTATGAAGAAGATGTAGACCTGATATAAAACAATCATTCTAAATTTGCTTAAATAAATCAAAGTAAAATGTGTTACATTTTTTTTCTCACTAAATTCCTGTTCTAAGCACCACCAATGGGATAACTCCTGGAGGGCAGGAATTTGCATTTTCTACCTTTTATAGCAGTATCTTGTTTATAATGTTAGTTTATAATCCTTGTTTATAAGGCTAGGTTAAAAATGGCTAGAGTTTACTTTTCTTGAACTATTTCCCCTTAACCTCACGCTGTTCTTATTGTTTAGACATAAAGGATAAAGTTGTCCAGAGACATTGTAATTTTACTGTATCAAAGGAGAAAAAATAAGTTGTGTAAAGAGAGAAATACAGCGACGCTTGGGGGGCTCAGTCGGTTGAGCGTCCTACTTCGGCTCAGGTCATGATCTCGCGGCTCATAAGTTCAAGCACTGCGTCGGGCTCAGAGCCTGGAGCCTGCTTCAGATTCTGTGTCTCCCTCTCTCTCTGTCCCTCCCCTGCTCACTCACTCTCTCTCTCTCTCAAAAATAAATAAACATTGCTGAGTGAAATAAGTCAGGCAGAGAAGGACAAATATCATATGTTTGCACGTATAGGAGGATTAGGAGGAGCTTAACAGAGGACCAAGGGGGAGAAGAAGGGGGGAAATGGTGGGGGAAAGGGAGAGAGGCAAACCATGAGAGACTCTTGAATGCTGACAAAAACTGAGAACTGATGGATGTAGGGGGGAGGAGGGATGGGCATGGAGGAGGGCACTTGTGGGGATGAGCACTGGGTGTTATGTGGAAACTAATTTGACAATAAACTATTTGTTAAAATAAATAAACAAATAAATGAATGAATAAATAAATATTGAAAAAAAAAGAAATACAATAAAATCCCTAACATACTATACATATTTAATCGATATATTGCCAATTCAGGTAAAATTTCTTAGTACCAGGAACATCTTGATGTCCACACTGATGCCAGCTGAAAATAAAGAAATGTTCTATAATGAATTAACGTACTCTGTGGACACTAAGAAGCAATGACCTCATGTTCTATTTGAAAGGCCAGTGATATTGAAGCAGGACAGAAGATGAAGCAAGAGAATTTCTGAAGCTTACTTTCTTAAACTGTAAGTGCTAAGCTAAACTACTTTCTTACATTTCAAATCAGGGAAGAACACATTTTGGCCAATTTAGGAAACAGCATCTGGATTAAATAGTCCTGCTTTTCATAAGCACTTTGGAAAAGATGCGTACAGAATTTTCTTCGTAGAATTTCAGGAGACAAAATCATAAGCAATAATGCAAATGATGTTTGGAATGGTATCTTTCTGAATTTGTCAGTGGGTTGGCAAAGGAAGGAAAGTTTTCTTTTGGGAGTATATGCCATTAATGTAGTTATGCAAAGGTAGATTTTAATTCTGATTCCTTAAAGCGTTTCCAAATAATACCTCTAGTTGAGAAGGAGTGTTGTATGGATGCTTCACCGTATAGAGAGCCTTCCCACCGGGGAAATGAGATGAGGAGACCCTGTCAGCCGATTCCCTCTGTCTCTGTGAAGGGGGAGGCCTGCTTCTCACAGGTTATCGAGCTTAGTTCTCTCCCACAATGACTTAACATTTTTTTTAATGTTTTTTATTTATTTCTGAGAGAGAGAGAGAGGCAGCGTGAGCAGGGGAGGGTCAGAGAGAGAGGGAGACACAGAATCTGAAACAGGCTCCAGGCTCTGAGCTTCTGAGCTGTCAGCACAGAGCCCGACGCGGGGCTCGAACCCACGAACCGTGAGATCATGACCCGAGCCGAAGTCGGACGCTTAACCGACTGAGCCCCCCAGGTGCCCCTTTAACATGTTTTTAACATCTACTGAAAAGGTCAGCTTTCTGCTAAAGGGTCATGTCAAAGTAGCATTGCTGACGTCATTTTGTCTTCTGAAGTCAGCTTCTATCTTCTGAATCAAATTTCAACTTATTTCATTGTGCTGCTGGGCTTACTTTATCTCTCGAGATTTCATAGGTAGCTACTGCCACGTGTTTAAATGCCTGTGTCACATCCACTGAGTTTGTGTTGTGGTTAGTGGTGGGGGCTCTTCACTGACTGTGTTTGTCTCTTGAATCTTGGGAAGGTTCGAATCTTGGGAATATTATTTAACTAAAGGCAAATAGCAAGTATATTTTAATGGAAACATACTTACTAGCAACCAGTGGAAGAGAGCACACATTTGAAAAACACAAACATGCTGAGATGGGATTATTCAGATGGTGAAATGCCAACTGGATGGGATATTAAAAATACTAAAAGGTTCATGAGAGGTTTCTATAGTCGTCTCCTATTGCTGCTATGACCAATGACCGTAAACTTAGTCACCTCGTGCAAATTAATTTTCTTACAGTCCTGGAGGTCAGAAGTCTGAAATGGGTCTAACGGGGCCAAAATCAAGGTGTTGGAAGCCTGTGGTCCTTCTGAAGGCTCCGGTGGAGAACCCCATCCTTGTCTCTTCCAGCCCTCATTGCTCGGCTCGCCCGCCACCCTTTCAGCTGCATAGGCAACCCCCACCCCCACCCCCGACCTCTGCTTTCATGACCACATCTCCTCTGTTTGTAAGGACCCTTGTGATGATACTCTGGTTCCTCTTCGGATCGAAGATGGAGCCTTGTGATTGCCTTGGGCCCAGCCAGATAATCCAGCCTTATTTCCCCATCTCAAAATCCTTAACTTACCACACCTGCAAAATGTCGTTGGCCATGTTCAGTAACACATTCACAGGTCCTGGGGATCGGGACCTAGACTTCTGGGGAGTTGTGGGGTAATTATTCTGCCTGCTACACACAGTTCCTTTAAATGAAAACCGAGAAATATTTCCTTCACGGGGTTTAAAGTGCTGTGAGATTAGCAATGAATCCATAAACTAATGTCTAGAATAGTTTGCTTTAAAAAAGTTTACTTATTTTGAAAGGGGGGGAGGAGGAGCAGAGAGAGGAGAGAGAATCTCAAGCAGGCTCCACGCTGTCCGCGCAGAGTCGGGTGTGGGTCTCGATCTCACAAACCATGAGATCTCGGCCTGAGCCAAATTCAAGAGTCTAGGCGCCCCTGTGTTATCATTTTAAATATACATTCTAAACCATTTGGCTGTCCTTTAAAAGATCAAAGACTAAAATCTATTTTACCTTGCTTTATTACACCACTGGAAGACTTTCTACGGGCGCCTGGGTTGAGTCAGCCCTGCGTTGGGCTCTGTGCTGAGCGGGGAGTCTGCTTGGGATTTTCTCTCTCCCTTTCTGCCCCTCCCTCACTCCCTCTCTCAAAGAAAAATAAATATATATTTTTTAAAAAGATGAGTTTCTTTTTTGAAAAAAAAATTTAATGATTACTTATTTTTGAGATAGAGACAGAGTGCAAGTGGGGGAGGGGCAGAGAGAGAGGGAGACAGAGAATCAGAAGCAGGCTCCAGATTTCTGAGCTGTCAGCACAGAGCCCCATGTGGGGCTCGAACTCATAAGCAGTGAGATTATGACCTGAGCTGAAGCCTGCCGCTTAACCAGCTGAGCCACCCACGTGCCCCAAAAAGACAGATTTCTAATTGAATTTAAGTAGAAAGGATAGGAGGAAACCAATATAAACAGAGTCAGGAAAGCAGCAGCTTCTAAGAGGAGGCTGGAGAGTGATCACATACTGCTCTGTGTAGCTAAAATAGATTTCCATCTCAAGGTTCTGCTTATAGAACTATAATATTTCCAATTTCACTAAGTCATATGTATAATCGATCTGAATCCATTATATGTTAATAAAAAGTGATATATTCCTAATCATATAAGAAAAATTATTTATTGATTCTTATTTATGATTTTTTTCTTTAGTAAAACCAATTAAGTCAGTGAGAAATTTGATGAAGGGGTAAAGTTACATTCAGGGCCAGTCCAAACTACTTTTTTATTAAAAAAATATTTTTGTTTTATGTTTTTGTTTTATTTTTGAGAGAGAGAGAGAGAGAGAGAGAGAGAGCACTAGAAGGGGAGGGGCAGAGAGAGAGGGAAACACAGAATCTGTAGCAGGCGCCAGGCTCTGAGCTGTCTGCACAGAGCCCGACGTGGGGCTCGAACTCACAGAGTGTGAGATCATGACCTGAAGCAAGGTCGGATGCTTAACCAACTGAGCCACCCAAGCACCCCACTTTTTTGTTTTTAAGTATCTAGTCCTCAGTCATTTGTAGGTTTTAAAATTCACAGAATCAGGATTTATAAGCATAATGTACTTACATGAGGAATAATTATTCACATCAGGCAGATCTGAATAAACCCTCTCTGTTTTTTTAATAAACCGTCTTAATTACCTTCTTAAAATCCAGATTTGAAATTTCGATATTTTATAAGAACTCTCCTATGCGTACAATTATTGTGTTTCACATTATGTTAGAACACAAAACAGACCACAGACCATCTCCCCACCCCCATCCTTTTCCCTACATCCAGCCAGAAGTGCAAGCTTTGTTTGCTAAGCACTCTGAAAGGAAGTGAAAAGATCTAAGAAATAAAACTAGGATGTAAAATTAAAGGTGTAAAGAATGTCCCACTAGCCAGCGCTTTGGGGGTTGGGGAGGGAGACCTGAAAACCTTCATTCTCTCTATTCTTCTGGTTTAATGCAGAAATGAAATTCTCTTTTATAGAATAATTAGTCTAAAGGAGACCCTTTTTTGCTTACAGCTTTCAGGACCAACATGAACATTTTGGACAGCTTTTGGTATAATACAGTGGTTTTCAGCCAGAGGTGATTTTGCTCCCCAGGTGACATTTAGCCAAGTCCGGAGACATTTTTGCCACGACTGGGGTTGGGGCCGCAACTGCGTCTGGTGGGTAGAGGCGGGGGGTGCAGCTAACATGCAACAGGGCCAGGGCAAAGACTTCCTGACCCGAAATGTCAGTAGAGTGAAGTCGA